CATTAAGAGAACGTTTTTACGCGTAAGACGAAAAGCAAAAAAAGAGATCAAGACAAATGCGTCCGTACTTGAGGTTCTGCACTGACAGAGATTCATAGGGTCTTCATGGTGCGATTTGTGAATATTGAATATTTTCTGAATATTTTCTTACAAAGCCAGCAAAAAATGCTTGCAAACGTTTGCCGGACATTTTATTTTTGGTACGTTATTCTTCAAAAACAGATTCCAAATCATGGAGCAATACTCCAGATGCGACTACAAATGAGCCTTATAAAGTTTCAATATTGCAGTGTTATCAGCATGCACTGTAGTTGCGAATGGACTAGGCTTTAATCACAACGTGATCGATGTGTGTGAGAGTTTCAAATTCGAATTATTCAAAACACCTAAATCCTTGGAAATGAAATCGCTCCTTTACTGCGCTTCATCTCTTATAAAGTTTTTTTCCGTCATCAAAATGCATGACGAGATACTATCCAAGACTGGTCGGATTAGCAGACCGCGATTCACAGCCCATCAGATTCTGTGATGACTTTTTCAAAACAGTACGAGTACTGATAAAACTATCTCTGTTATGCTTTCCCTTGATATTGATGTTGTCTGCAAACATCCTTGTGATATGTGCAGTCCTTAAGACATCCGGGAGGTCAGTGACTCAAAAAACTGGAGAAAATAAAGCCTCCTGTAAACTCTGCTCACGCATACATGCCTGTCCGACCTATCTTCAGCTTTGAGCGTCATACCTCTATTACCGAGTTAATCTTGGCTCAAAGCTAAGATTCAGTATAGAAACTGATTATGAGTAAGCGATACAATGGCAGTCGACGACCCTGCCATAAAGCCGCATGAATGCTGTTTAGAGATCATCTGAGAGCCCAAAAGGGTGCTATTTAACTTGGTAATCGTCTCAAAGATTGCATATGTCTACATAATGTCCGCTGCACAATAGAAAGTTACGATTTTCGAGCAAGCAATACAAAAGGGCGAATCTGATTTATTTTGGCATTGTTCAAGGAAATCACAACTTTTCATAAAGAGCTCAATCAGCGCAAACTTTGCACTGTTAGAAAGAGCTCGCGAAAGACCCTACAATACCGACTGCTCCGATTTTTGCTGCAAGTTTCCGATTTTTTATGACCCTACAGAGAAAATTCGAATTTTGACTGATTTTTTTCTACCGCTCCTATCTATGCAAGAAATGATCATTAGTAAGCAGCTAAGGTGTCATTACAAAGAGCATAACTCACCCTTTCCCAGAAAAATAAAACATTCAAATCGGTTGGAAAAATCAGAAGTTATAACTTGAATGTTCCTATTTCTTTAAACCTGGGCATTGTATATAATCTTCAATTTTGCTTGTGCCGAACAGGTTTGTTATGGTAGTGTCTTTATTCGAATGGCCTAACGTTTCGGCGCGTTCGCCGTCCTCAGAGGCCTAAAAACGGCACAAAGCATCATCCACGACACCAGACCATCAAATGTCTCTTCTAGCTTAGCTAGTTTCGACCTCTCTTCTAGTTCAATCCGCAAAAATCTTCAAAAACCGAAATGAACCAACCGTTTACACCACCGCTATGTGAAGTGTCCGCGCCGGAAGAGTATGACAGTACGACCGGAAATATGTGACAGAAGCGGACAATTGAGCTATACTCTAATGGGCAGATAGAGAGTTATCTACGAAGGCAGATAAAGTCTATCTACCATCTATAGCTCACATAGTGCTACGAACGGCAGGAAGTCAGCAGTGATGGACAAGCACTCGTTCTTGTTATTCATTTCTGGACTCTTTGCCGAGATCCAGAAAGCCTCTAACGCCTTTCTAGCCGAGATCTCGTTTTCGTGTGTCAAAATCGTGCATTTGATTTCGAAGTCCTTTCCATCATGTGAGTCATTCCTATGCCTACCCAGCGGTGTTATTAAACTTTTTCGCCTTTTGCTTGCCAGATGTTCTTTGATTCGCACGCTTAGTACTCTGCCAGTTTCACCGATATACAGTGCGCCGCAATCAAGGCATTCGATTTGATATACGACCCCTACTCTTGCGCAGTCGCCCACTCTGCCATATGGGCATATTGTGCATTGCTCGGTTATACAAAGTCGATCATAAAGTCGATTTCGAACAAGTTGCTTTTTGATATTCGCATTAGGTATATTAACTAAAATGACGTCATCCAGCAACTGAGCGCGAACAATGCATTGTTGGAAGGCAGAGTTGATTTTGTCAGAGAAAAAAGGGAGACAAAGCGGAAGTTTTTGGGTTTGTCGAATGCGGTTATCGCGCGTATGTTTTGGTCGTGTTTGCGATGCGGAATAACCGTTGCTGCGAGCGATTTCTGAGGCTAAGCATCTTGCTTCGCGGCGCTCATCCTCTCCCGAGCACATCATTGTTGCTGTCTTGAACATATTCCGAACTACAGCCCGCTTTGTGCTTACAGGATGTGCGGAATTCGCGTTAATGAGGATGTTTTTGCAACTATCCTTGCGATACCACTTCATTTTTACAACGCCGTTGGTTAAGTTGACCATTGTGTTCAAGTAGGGCAACCATCCTCCTCGTGGTTTTTCGCGCGTTAACTTGATGTACTCGGACTGTAAGTTAAGAATTTCTGGAAGTTATAAATTAAGAAGAAGTTATAAATTTTTGAAAATCGTGCGCAAGAACTTTCGTGCCAACCAAATATTTGTATTAATAAGAGACGTTTTTTTGCTTTTTTCAACCTCCAATAATTCCCTTATTGTAATGAACTTACAGGCCTAATATCCCAGTCAGCAAGACATAGTCTCAAGGATTATGTTTCTACAGAAGGATCTGCACATCGCGCCCTCCAAATGAAATTTATATTTCGATCACGGAATTTGAAACGTAATGGGCTAACATATGCACAAACTCTCATGTAAAAATAGTTTTTCTTTTGAAAATTGGTATTTAAGACCAGTCATTACAAGAATGTACTGTAAGCAACAACCTTTTGTGAATAAGAACAATTGATGACTTCAAACTTAAAGGTTTGAGCTCAAAGTCATAGTAAAGCAAAAGCTAAAAGGCACATCCACAAGTTACTTTTCACCGCTCGCGGTAAGTGTAAAAATGTTATTATTCGAAAATAGTCATATATGCGCGTATCAAAGCAAGGTAAGAAAAACGCTTCTTTTCAGTTTGGTCGAACAATTCTCTCGGCATCGAAGACCTCATGGGCTCCTTTCAGATATAAAATAATCTTTAGAGTAGATTGTTATGTTTCCTTTTTGTAAAACCTTGGCATGATCTGTAGATATTGTTCAATTGTAAGGACAGTAAATATAGCGTTCCTTTAAAAACCTGTTACGGCTTAAAACAACTGTACAAAATCTTCAAAGTTTTCTTCATCAATCGATGGCTACTTATATGCCTGCAAGTTCTTATGAGGAAGCATTGCAACCTAAGAAAAGACAGTTTGAAGAAATATATTGTAAATCTATGATTTGTACATTTATCCTGAAAAGTTTCGCAAGCTTACAAGGGAAGGTATATGACTCGCAGTGAAGTTTCCCTATGAGGTGTATATCAGTTAAAAGGACTCTGAGCGCTGATCTCAAAACAAGCTTCCATATCTGCTTATCAGTTTACTGAACAAAGTTACAGGATTTGTTTGGCCTTAAATGACCCTGATTTTGGTTGCTCACTGCAGGACTAAGGCGGCAGAGTAGCTCTAAAACTAATCCCATCAATTTTTTTTATGCACAATAAATATGTCTCGGACATTTGGGCATGTAAGTTTGGACCAAATTCGCATTTACCACAAATTTAGGTCATTTACAAAGTACCCGACCATGCAAGTTGGACGTAAAATGCAACTTTGTTCAGTAAACCGATAAGCAGATATGGAAAGTTGTTTTGAAAACAGCGTTCAAAAACCTTTCGAGTGGTATACACCTCAGAGGGAAACTCCAGTGTGCGAGTCATATACCTTCCCTGTTTAATATTTTTTCGCTAGTTAAGAATTTGCTCTACGCGCAGAACCTGAAATTATCACGATGGATTTTGAAAGAAAATCTCTTGTTATGAAGTTGAAAGTAGGAATCGGAGAGAAATATGATGCAAGCTGGTACAAGTCAAAAGTGTCTTTCTTTTTTAGTTTCAGATCAAAAAAGTATTTTCGTAGAGAAAGATAGCTCTTCATACGTCTCCGCCACTCCAGAAAAAAAGTTATGGACTTTGACCACTTAACGTAGATGTAAAAATCCAAGTAATCTGACGTAATCTGCGACGTTCTATTTGCACTAGATAAAACCTAAAACTAGCGGTCTTTTCCATTTTTCAAATACAGAGAAGATATTTTTGACCGAAAAAACTCCTAAAATCGAATTTGATTTTGATAGAGAATCAAATATTGCAAGTTTAATACAAGAAATTTGCAAAGCTCAAATTTATTCAATCTGAGGGTCTGCCTGCTTTGCAGAAATAATATAAATGAAAATAAATTCGAGACAGCTGTCACGATTTAGAGCAATCAACATCGTAAACCCTTATGAAAAAACATTTCACATCTGCCTCAAATTTTTGAGCTTTTTTAGCCGAGATACGGCGAGTACTTTTTAATTTTACTGATAAAGTAGAGTAGACATAAAACAGTTAATACCTTATCAGCGCGTATTTTGTACATTGCTCTAATTGCTCAACAGCCACGAAAAGCGACACTCAAATGAACTGGACTTCAACCTCCACATGGACTTCAACCCCAGTTTTCCACCCTTTTGAGCAGTGTTAAAACATTTACTAACGATAAGCGAAATGGGTTGCGATTTCAAGTAGTGAGTGGCAACTTCAGTCCACTGAAGTCTTCTGTCTCTGGGAATGGATTTCACTGTAATATAGCCACTCCAGTTGCGCTAACGAATTTGAATTTTTATGAGTGGCAAGAGCGAGATAAGATTACTTAGAAATTTCATAGTTTTTTAAGTTGTCAAACGTGCTGCTTATATTAGAGTATGTGATGTTATCGAAACTGCACTCACTTGACATGTCTGCTGTCTTTCTGGTTCTACAAATTCTTCTTAGCCTTGCATATGCGGATGCGCTACAGGTTGGCTTAATCTTATATATGAGGCTAGATGTCTGTCTGTAAGTCTATACGTATACCCCCCGAAAAAAATTTTTTATAAGGCTAATTTGAATTTTTAATAAATTTCAAAAATATTTTGATTATTTACAAAAATAAACAAGTTGTTTGTACATTTTTATAACCAATAAGTAATACTACCGCAACCCTTACATAAGGCTTACGGCAGGTTTACGGTACAATAGGAAAATTTTTAGATTGCGTCAGATTCTGCTAAAACTTGGCGGGGTTACTTAACATGCTGATCGCAAAAATGTGAGCCGTTTTGCATGAAAAGACCTCTTTCGTAAGTTCAAAGAACGCTATCTTAGCGACAAATGACTATGATATTCGTGTTCACATTATTGAATTACCCTACTGTGAAAAGTTTTAGGGAATCTGAGGTTTCGCAGCTTAGTTATTGACAGATTGCCCTCAAAACTTGACGCAGTTAACTTGTTCTACTTCTCAAAGGCGCCTTATCTTAGTTTATCTTTGAATTTTACAGATCTGACTTCTTTTTTACTGATTCTAATGTGGTTTTGATAGGATTTTGAATCTCAATTTCTAGCTGATGCCTGTGATTCCTTATGATATGTTTGATTCATTTTTGTACGGCTTCATGATACTTACTTAGATACTTAGATGGCCAGTCCTCACGTGACGTGCGGACCGCAGTACAGAAGTTTCCACTGTTTCCTCTCCCTCGCTTCGAACATCCACGATCTTCTTGGTTGCCGTCGGTGGCTGCGTCCACGAGTTCCAGGTGCAAAAACCGTATCCAGTTGATTTCTCAGTCCATCCGTTCTACGAACACGTCTGCCCATCTCGTCGATGGTCCTCCTCGGGGATGTTTGGCTTCGCGAGGAATCCACTCGGATGTTATTAGTGTCCAACTGTCGTCTGTTCTTCTAATGATGTGACCGACCCATCGATGCTTTGCTGTCGTAACGTAATCCGCTAGGTCACGAAGACGGGACATTCTTCTCATATCCGTACTGCAAAGTCCGACAAGATGCTGCTTGTGTCGGCTCATTTTCAAAAGACTGCGCTCTAACGCCTGTGGATGGTCCGTAGTGCTTTCGACGCGGCTACAGTGTCGGCCCAAGTCACAGCTGCGTAACAGAACGCCGGGAGAACGGTTGAGTCGATCAGGTGGGCACAAACCTCCGGGTCCATCAGTTGGTCGGTGGCTTCCTTCAGAGGCCCGAAGGAGGTCCAGGCTGCTCTTCTTCTCCTGTTAAGTTCTTCCCTCAAGTCGTTCTCCATGTTCATCGAACGTCCGAGATCCACGTAATAAGACGTCTCCATAATCGGGAGTGCCTTCCAATTCAATTCCTGCTTCTTCGCAAAGGGCGTTCCTCATGAACTGAGTCTTCTTCCGATTTATTCGCAATCCGATCTCTCCTACTTCGTTTAGTTCCTTCAGCATCGTCTCTGCTTCAGTGATACTGCTCGAGAGGAGAACGATGTCATCTCGAAAACGAAGGTATCGTTTTTCGATTTGCGGTACGGCTTCAATGTTTGCCAAAAAACCGTGAAACCTCGATTTTCAAGGGTTTTTGAAAAATGCTTTTTTCTTCTAATATGTTAACAAAAATCAAGCAGTTTGCGCAGGCTTGCAGTCTACGACACGCTCTATACATGCCAAAAAATGAGAGTGCTATATTTAGTAAGCAGAAAGTTATGGGAAAAGTTGCAAAACTTAGGTGCCAACTTAATGGAATGTATGAGTGAGCAAGTGAGATTCGAAAGAATTTTTCGCGCGAAGGCGTAAAGTTTTTTTTTTAACTTTGTAGGTGTCCAAAACTTTTGTTGTTATGGGTACAGAAACTAGGTGAACAGTATAGACCCCTTTAAAAACGTTGGGTCGTCCTATTTCTGTTTATTTAGTGATACAAGTCAAGTTGAAGTGGATCTAACATCTTGGTAGTTTAGGTAGTGGACCCTCTAAGTACACTGTAGCCCCCTCCCAACCTTTTAATTCAGGCGCAAAGTCCTGTAAAGAGGCTTCAAAACTCCACCATTCCCGCTCACTTACGTTGGGTAGGCGTCATTGGTGGAGTTTTGAAGCGCTTTTTTCAGACTTAGCGCACGAATTGGCAGGTGGGGTTTGGGCTACAGTGTACTTAGAAGGTCTACTACCTAAATTCACCAAAATCAATGAAGAGTCCATTTTGCCGATCACTGCCTTTATATCCTCAAAATGCCGTTATAGTCGCTGAAATACAAACCATACAAAAAAAATTTTATTCAAAAAAAAACTTCTAAATGTCTAACAAATACACTTTGTCTCCCTTCCCTTTCAGCAACGACTTCCATTCCCCGTCAATATTTTCGAGAACATAGATGTGACGAACTTAACAGCAGAATGCCGCAGGGACGTCACATTATTCTCAACAAGTCTTTCCACCTTTGCCACAACATTCGCGGCATGCCGTCAAAATGAAGGCTGTACTAAGGAACAGCAAAAGAGTCTCGATAAGAATGTCTATGCTTTGCGACGTCAGTGAACCTTTCGCACTTTGAAGCAATACAACATGATTTTTAGAACTTGATGCTTTTGGAAAATTACCCGCAGGGTTACTGCAACTTACTGTGATAAATACAGGTTCCTATAGGGAATGTATAGACGTAGAAGCGCCCTATAAGGTCCAGTACTGTTATGTGGATGCCTTAATCAATGCGGTATGTACAAACGGCAGAGACTGAAAATTCACAAAGACGTTACAGACGGATACGGGTAAACTCGGATCGAAAATTGCTGTGTGTCTACCAATTAGCTGCACGGAAGAGGTACAGTCCATGGATGTTATTATTACCGCTTTGCATGTTTCTAGGATACTGTAGATTTCATGAATTCTATAAATACACAAGGGTTAGTGCCAATAAGCTTCACTGGTACAAGCTGTGTTCCAATTAATAATGTCTATCCAACGTCATTTTGGGTGTTCATGTAAGTAGAGACCAGTATTCTTACTTTAAAAAAATTTGCTGTAAGCAAGTTCTATTCAGGAGCTTTATGGCTTTTTTTGTCTCTTGGGCAGTTATTGCGACTGGAGTTGATTATGTTTGGTACAATCATTACAAAAACAAGGAGCAAAACAGCGGTGCGAAAGAATATCATTTTGCTAAGTGATTTTGAGTGTTGACCTATAGCAATAACCAGTCGCAAGTTGTTGGCATCCAAATCAGTGCCAGTTTATTGCTCCTTGTGTTGCTAATTTATATGATATATCTAAAGGCTATTGCATGACGAAGGCGCAGAAGCGGTAGCAGTTGAGCGGGCGCAAACGCAACGCGCGCATATCCTCACCGTTGTAAATCCTGTGCCTCATGCGCCCCGCGGCTAATGAAGCCGCGTTCGCGCCCACAGGTTTTGCGCCTTCGTCATGCAGCAGTCTATAGTCATAAATACTTGAATCCACTTTCCAGTAGTACGCGTACTCCTTACTTATTCGGTCTACAGTAATGGATCCTTTTTGATGAATGTCAGTACGCCCAAAAAAGGAACACTCAAATCTTTGGCATCAATTCGTTTTATTACGATGACGTGGGTCGCATGTGCACATACAGTACTCCAGGATGCGTCCAGCGGTCAGTGTGCTTCAGAGTTTCGATGTATGAATGAAGAAAGTAAATGCAGACACACTAGCACCGGTGCAGAAAATGTGGAACCCTCTTCTATCTACCACAATCACTAACGCATATTTCTCAGTCGATACATTTTTTGTGGTTTCTGGAGTGCTTGTGTCTTACACATTTTTCAAGACGAGACCGACAGCTAATCATGTCAAAAATCCATTTCTGTGGATCAATTACTACGTTCATCGATATCTAAGGTAAGGCACACGCATACTTACAGCTTTTCAAACTTAATTGGGTGATCGATTTACTGGTGTTCAATGCTTCCAGATAAAATGTGAGGCGTTCTTATGATTTCAAAACGATTTATATTAGGCCGGTCCGAAAGTTCGTGTCCTTTTTCAGATCCATGCTCAAACCACTTAGAATAAACTTAGACAAACGCTCCAAACAGTATTCGAGGGAGACTTCCTTCCTCATTATAATGGCTACGTGTTTTTTTTTTTGAACTCTTTTGATGTCCGCTTGAATGATTCTCAGAACCCACAACCCACGGTTTTTACTTTTCTGAGTTTAGAAAATTATTGAAATTTCCATTTTCTACTTTTGAACTAGCTTTGAAAACATTAGAGAGAATAAACAAAATACAACATAGTATACTTTTTCAGCCTCTCTAGCTGACTTTTTAAAATTTTTGAAATTATTTTTCCGATGCTTTAATTTCCACAGTTAGCACACCAATCCTCACAGAACGATAAATGGCAGGCAAACAAGGTGTCATTCGATTTTTCCTCCTCTTTCTGATGAACTTTTTTATCATGATTTGTATAGTATTCATCGACAAATTATTAGAATTCTTATTTCCACACTCGTCTCAGGGTGTAGCCGAAAAATGCGGAATCCAATATTTGAACCGCTAAACGCTCATTTGCTTGCTGAAATCAGCGTTCCCCACAATGGTTGGCCGCCTCACCGTGGGGTGGAAGTGACACTGGGTGTCGAACTACGGTGCACAACTCAGTGTATACTGTAGTGGGAATCACAGTATCATCAAATCACTAATATATTGTCTAAATCACCATCGTACGTGACGTGATTTGGAGCAGGAGGTGCCAGCAGAGGTGCGATGGGGGGAGCCGGGCTCAGCAAAAGTGAAGGTGGTACCAGCTACCACTGGCCGGCCAAAGGTGAAGGTGGTAGTGTCGAACACTCACCTCCCAAAAACGTCGACCGGGGGGGGGGGGGTAGAACGGACGAACAGAGCTATCTTTCTAGGTCGAACTGTGACCCAACGGCCCTCTTTAGGGCCACAGATACGATGAATATTGAAAATATTCATAAATTTTATTTTAAAAAATTTAAAATAGACGTGTTTAGTAAATGGTGTATTTGGAAGTAAAACTTAGCGGAAATGTACGGATCTTATTAGGCAAATTTTGTTATAACGTACAGCAAAGAAAGCAGATCGATCCAGGCAGTAACGGCGTAGAACCAGAATTCCGAATAATTAAATAGTGAAAAATCATGCAAAATTTCCACTGTTATAAATCTGTTGTTTAAAGATGTCAGCAGTTGCGACTTCATAGGTTTTAAAGAGTAAATAATGCTCTATCAGATAGTGAAGGAATCGAGTCGATTTGAGAGATAGTCTCTGAAAACCAGAATTCTAGAAATTTACGCCATTTTTGCGTGTTTTTTGACAGTTGACAGTTGAACTCATATAAATCTTGAATATGAAAGTGTGTGATGTTGCGTTAGATTCTTCTCATCAAGAGCTTTCAGATGATATATAATATGTGGGGGTTTAGAGCCTCCTACAAATTATGCCCGTGGGGGGAGCCTTTTCATACCAAAGTCTCCCCCCTCCAATACATTAAAGTGGGCTAGGGGGAGACTTTGGTATGAAAAGGCTCCCCCCACGGGCATGATTTGTAGGAGGCTCTAAACCCCCACATATTATATATCATCTGAAAGCTCTTGATGAGAAGAATCTAACTTATGAAGTCGCAACATGATTCATGCAGTTCTGAAGAAGTTATGAGCTGTTGAAATTCAAAAAGCGCTTTTTTACCTGCTTTTTCAAGACTCTGGATCTCGGCACTGTTTCAGTGAATCGGTACGGCTAAAATATATTCAGATAAGGCAAACCTTGCTCTACAAAACCTATGAAGTCGCAACATCACACACTCTCACTCGCAAGATTTAGGTGAGTTCAACTGTCAACTGTCAAAAAACACGCAAAAATGGCGTAAATTTCTAGAATTTTCAGAGACTATCTCTCAAATCGACTCGATTCCTTCACTATCTGATAGAGCACCATTTACTCTTTAAAACCTATGAAGTCGCAACTGCTGACATCTTTAAACAACAGATTTATAACAGTGGAAATTTTGCATGATTTTTCACTATTTAATTATTCGGAATTCTGGTTCTACGCCGTTACTGCCTGGATCGATCTGCTTTCTTTGCTGTACGTTATAACAAAATTTGCCTAATAAGATCCGTACATTTCCGCTAAGTTTTACTTCCAAATACACTCATTTTCCTTCTTTATCGTCCAGCAAAAAAATTTTTATTCCAAAAGTGAAGGTGGTCGCCCTCTACCAGCTCAAAAGTGAAGGTAGGGGGAAAATCGGCTCCCACTATCGCACCTCTGGGTGCCAGGCGATAAGTAAGAACAAAGCTCGGTTTTCGCTCGCCTCACCAGGCATTCTACCTTCCAGAGATAGTAAACTGTCAGTGTAATGTAAGAGGGGTAAGCGTTCCTTTAAACCACACCGCAGAACGTGGCGTGCTGCGGCGCGCGCAGCAGAGCGCAGCAGCCTGCCGCAGCACGCCTCGTCCTGCGCAATGCTCGGCACAGGTGGCTTACTGGGCAAGCAGGATATCATTTCGGAATAAAAAGCAAGGGGGATATCGTTGAAGCGAACCCTCCCCCCTCCACACACACACACACACACACACACACACACACACACACACACACACACACACACACACACACACACACACACACACACACACACACACACACACACACACACACACACACACACACACACACACACACACACACACACACACACACACACACACACACACACACACACACACACACACACACACACACACACACACACACACACACACACACACACACACACACACACACACACACACACACACACACACACACACACACACACACACACACACACACACACACACACACACACACACACACACACACACACACACACACACACACACACACACACACACACACACACACACACACACACACACACACACACACACACACACACACACACACACACACACACACACACACACACACACACACACACACACACACACACACACACACACACACACACACACACACACACACACACACACACACACACACACACACACACACACACACACACACACACACACACACACACACACACACACACACACACACACACACACACACACACACACACACACACACACACACACACACACACACACACACACACACACACACACACACACACACACACACACACACACACACACACACACACACACACACACACACACACACACACACACACACACACACACACACACACACACACACACATAGACACACACACACACACACACACACACACACACACACACACACACACATAGACACACACACACACACACACACACACACACACACACACACACACACACACACACACATAGACACACACACACACACACACACACACACACACACACACACACACACATAGACACACACACACACACATAGACACACACACACACATAGACACACACACACACACATAGACACACACACACACACATAGACACACACACACACATAGACACACACACACACATAGACACACACACACACATAGACACACACACACACACATAGAGACACACACACACACACACATAGACACACACACACACACACACACACACATAGACACACACACACACATATAGACACACACACAGACACACACACACACATAGACACACACACACACACACACACACACACACACATAGACACACACACACACATAGACACACACACACATAGACACACACACACACATAGACACACACACACACATAGACACACACACACACATAGACACACACACACACATAGACACACACACACACATAGACACACACACACACACACACACACACTTGCCTTCTGCCTTTACTTCACACATCTTCTATAAAGACGCAAATTGTCATTTTTGCCTTATCGATCTGCAAAAACCAAGAATCTTCTGTTCAACTTCCTCAATTAAGCGCGCGAATTCAAACCTGCCCCGAAATAAACAAAAGACTTGTTTGCAGCGAAGAGAAAAGGAAATGAACTACCAAAATTGGTGTGTAGATAGGCAATAGGGCGTTAGGACTATACGCAAAAATTATGAGAAAGTTATGCGAACTGAAAGCGTGGTAAACTTTTTTCGGAATTAGGTAGCTTTCCAGCCATTTGAACAACCACCTTAGGTGGCTGCCCATGTGGCTGGAAAGCTACCTAGCTTTGTGGAAAAAAAGTCATATATTAGGGCGTTCCAAAAGTAATGTCGCTTTATTCAAATGAATGCCACATTTCATGGAATCAAGATTTTTCAGAGATCTTAGAAGCATTCGATGCAGCACTTCATCCTCTTTCTAACAATTGTAACCCCATTGCATAATATTCAGTGGGCCCTCGAGAAATTACCAAAACCTGCGACTCATGCTTTTTGCCATGGTCAAGTTCGGCTAATTTCTAAATTTTTGTACCTATTCTCAGAAGAAGTACATATGGCAGGTAGATAGAGCAAACCCTATAGGATACAAACAATTTTTTTCTTTTCCTTAGCTTGCTTCTCAGAGTTTCTACAATCAATTTCTCAATGCCATCAGATTCCATATTTAGTCAAGTCAAACCTCACAGAACAACAACCGGCAAGCGACTCGGGTGTCATTCGATGCAGCTTTTTCTCCTCTTTCTAGCGGTCGTTTTTTGTTTCCGATTCATCAAGTTTTCCGGGATAAAACCGTCATAATTCAGGTTTTCCAGGGCGCCTCAGGCTGTACCCGGAATTTTCGAAAGTTGCTAATCTGAAGCGGTAAACGCTCATTTGCTTTGTAAAATTAGTGTCAAACCATATTTCATCTTTGTAAGTTTCAAAATCCGAAGACTTACTGGTGTTTGATGCATTTGTGTCTGAGACGAGCCTGCTAAAATTCGGTGGTTCTATCAAAAAATCTGTACAAAAATTATGACGAGCTCTGGAAAGTAGAAGAAGGCTGTGCTGTTTCTTGTAGGGTTTGCTCTATCCATCCATTACTTAGACTCCTTCCGAGGGTTGTTATAAAAACTTAGAAAAATGTTGAAAGTTGGCCTTCTCAGAAAGCATGGGTCGCAAATCTAAATAATTTTTCGAGAGATTGTTGGATTTTGTGTAGTAATTATATAACTATTAGAAAGAGAATGAAATGCTGCATCATATGCTACCAAAATCTCTTACATATCTTTGTTCCACGAGGTGTGGTGTACGTTTGAAAAAAGCGACATTACTTTCGGAACGACCTAATATTTTCCTTGCTTCACATAATTTTCTCATATGTTTAACATAATCTTGTTCTGCATCTAAAGACCCTAAAACTTAGTTTTTGAATTTCCTTAAAACCCCTCTTCCTAGCCTAGTCACAACCCTCCACATATTTTGTATGACGGCGGCAAGCCTGTTCCACATGGGTGCACGCCGGACACAGCATGCCGCCAATTCGACGAATACGAACATCTTCAATTTTTTCCGTCTCTTTGATATTGGTTTTATGTTTTGTTTCATTGTTTTTTTCGTTATTCGTTTTGTTCCGTTCATGATTGCGTCATAGTTGATGTCCTATTTTTGTGCCGAAGTCTACAGTGACTTCGTTTTTGAAAAACTGAAAAACCACCTTATGAGAGCTCTGGTCCTGCGGCGTAGTATGAAGGAACCCTAAGATGCAACCAGGTTTGGTAAAATCACTGACTTCGGAGCGTAGAACACTCCCTTTTTCCCGAAAGCCTCGTTAAAAGTATGTACACGCTTTCTGCGACCTTGTCGAGTAAACAGGGTGTGTTTAGCACACGTCCCCAAAGGCGCGCTGAACGCACTCTAACCTGAGAGTTATAGAATACTTATGCAGTTTGCTGTATAGGCCGTCCGCGCTGCGCACGGAGAGCAACGCTGTTGCGTACATTGAAGGCAGTTCACGATTGGAAGAAGCGCAGAGAAAACAGGCGGCAAGAGTGCACGAGGGAAGAGGAGTGACGTGCAATACACGTTTTGCGCACTCTCCGCGCCCTGCGCGGACGGCCTATAGCCATAGTCTCGTAGAAAGGGAATTCATATATGGTAAACTACTTTCTATTTCAATTCCAACACAGCGCTTATTTCAAGCGCTGTGCTGAAATTGTTCCCGGACTTCGGATCAGTATGAACGCATCAATCACGCTTAGGACTCAAAGAATTTAGAGTTTGTATCTGTCGAAATGGAATCATTTAACAATTATTTGAGTAATTCAACGAAAATTTGTTAAGCATTTTACAAAGAAAGGGTAGTTGGTGACCACGACTTTGTATTATACATCCGGATATTCGCCTTGGAGCGCTGATCTCAAACTCTGTTTAGAGACAGAGATTGAATCGGCATCCATTGTGCAGTAATCACCAGCGTTCACACGTTGACGATAGCGTCACGCAATGGTGTGCAACCGGCAATCTGTCTCTGTGGATGACGTTGCGCAGTAGTGCGCGACGGTCTCAATTTCAATTCTAATGTGTCCAATCGTCCTGATGTGTGGTGTGATCTAGTTGGGTTGGATATTTCATGTTAGTCCCGCCTCTCTTTTGGCAAGCTCCGCCCATTCCGTCGCCTTTACAAAAAACGTTTTCAAATTGCATAGGAAAGGCTCAAAGATGACCGCAAGACTCCAAGCGACTTTAATCTCGGCCCCACCCCCATTAGGCAGTCTTCTCAGTGGCAAGCTCCGCCCACTTTTCAAAAATGCTGAAATGTGCATGAATTCCTATTTTTAAGCAATTTGCAGCTTTTTTCGAGTGGGCGGAGCTTGCCAAAAGGCGGAGTCGTTCGCCAACATGTATTTTTCTTTCCCAAGCATAAACGAATGCTTATTGTTATACATGTGGCCAGGTGTAAAAATGCACGGAAGCGGCTGTCCACAGGAACATCAAAAATTGGCTCGTCATCGACGTGTTAACCACTAGACCATTCAGCACCTTTGGGGCGTATTGGGGCGTACGACATTACTCGTGATCTCGTGCAAAACCGTCAAATGGGAGGAGACATTCGATAATCGTTCTGCAGATAATGAATCAGTGAGATCAGCGTTCTAAGGCAGATGTCATGATATGTCACATATCGAAAGGCCATGGTCACTAAGTACCCTATCTCCGTTAGCGAAGCTTGCAACGCCTACTAGCCTTCTTGGTTGCTCTTCGCTACTTAACTTGTGTTTTCTCTCCTACGAGGCTCTTTTTCGACTTTTATAATTTTGCACTTAGCCGCTCAAGTGTTTTCTACAATGTTGATGCATTTAGACTTACTCCTCCTGTAATGGTGTTCATTTGGTTTTATGTAATCATGAAACCATACATCAATGGACCCTGGGCTAAATCACTAATTTCTTTATTTAATGAGCCAGCAGATCCTTGTGAGAAGTACTGGTGGCGTAATCTGCTATACATTAACAACTTTTTTGAATTTAATAAGGTACGCTGTATTTACAATGTGAAATGCTGCTGTCAGTATTATATAATCAGATATGCTACATACCCACGTGGTACCTTTCCGTTGACACACAACTTTACTTTGTTGCACCAATCTTTCTCATAGTACTTTTCGTCTACCCGCTTGCTGGTAAGTGCAACGAGAAATTTGATAACTTAAGTGCTGTTGAAACTTGACAGGATTTCTGCTTCTCTTCGCTTGTGTTGCTGCCAGTGTTGGATACGTTTATGCAATTACTATCAAAAATTCGTTCCCAGCAATTGTCTCAGGAGTCTTTCTTCTTATGTAGGATCATCTCATAGTTCTGTACCATCCATAAGTGAAGGGTATTTAAATGTATGCTAGAGGCTTTCCCGACTTTTGGACTGTCTACTACCAAAAGCCATGGAATCGTTGTCCTCCATACTTAATTGGAATGGCAGTTGGATACTTGCTCGCACTTGGGAAAAAACCAAGGTTGAGCAATGTAAGTGGTTGAGATTTAATTTTCAAATGTAAAGCGGTATTTAGTACCTGATTATTTTCAACTGGATCTTATCTGCAACTATCGCCCTGGTTTGTCTGTATGGTCCGCACGATTACATAAAAGGTGATGAGAGCTGGAAGTGAGTCGTTCTTCAAATTAGGTTTTGTATTGCAGACATTGTGAAATCAAAATGGTAAGAGCTGATTTTTCAGCGTTGTCATAGCAGGAACTTATAATAACTTTTCTCGAATTGGATGGACGCTTGCTGTGTGTTGGGTTATTGTGGCAAACCATTGGGGATGGGGAGGTAGAAACCACCATTCACCTCCGTCTATTATCTGAATTTTTCTTCACCAGGACTAATCGCCAGATTTATGGACCATCCACTATGGCAACCATTGGGAAGACTCTCATATTGTGGATACATTGCTCACTATTTTTTCATCAACTATGTTAACAATCTAGATGATCGGCCAGCACATTATATCTCTATTTGGAAGACGGTTTGTGAAAGCATTTTTGTCCAATTTCTGCTTAATCAATTTTTTTCCAGTACATCTGCTTGGTCATTCCTGTGATTGTTGTCTCGTACGTATTTGCGTTCTTCTGGAGTTGTCTTTTTGAAATGCCTATCGTGAAGCTAGAAAAAATGCTGACTGCTGGATTACTTCCAAAAAAACCCAACGAATCTCTCAAATTAGCTGCGGAAGCAGATTTACGGCAGCTACCTGATGCTAAAATTGCTAGATTCAAATCTGAAGAAGGAAATGAGGAGGCTACGACTATGGGTAAAAAAGTGTAAAGAGTTAAGATACGCTCCCAGTTTCGACTAGTATTGATTATAAGAGAGCGTTCTGATTATTTTTGATCTCAAGCATTGTCGAGTTGTGACACAAGGGAGCCTGCACACTGCGCGACAACTGACGGCACTTACTAGTAACTCTTCAGTAAAACATTTTCAAAAAACTTCTAACAAACTTGTGGAATGTTTACCACTAACTAATACATGTCAAGCCAAAAAAGGCAAACAAAAAACAAGGCAATATCACTAAAAATTTGTCAAATAGCTCGCATGGTGTGTACGCATAGTTGCAAGTGATTTGAGGCTACATAGAAATTGATAATAACAGATTTGAATTATGTGGACGTGTGTATTTTGAATTTAATGCTAGGAGAACTTTTTCACACGAATTTTTCACAAATAAATAATCCTTATGATGGCTCCTCAAGTTGTTCATGTAGCATAGCTTGTAATGAGTATATACAAGTATTCGTACCATAGAGTTGCTAAAGAGATGAGGAACGGAATTAGTGGCGAACTCAGTGGATGATAAAGGCATTCTGTGAAGTTCGTATCGATGTGATAATTTGTATATATCAACACTTTTTTGGCTTCTTGTTTGACTACTGATTGATTTGCTAATATTAGTTGCCATTTGCTCCATTCTTACACGCCAACTTTCTGCCACTATTGCAATGGAAAATTAGTTTTCAGAAACTGTAGACCAGCTATAGTCGCCCTATTCATCCAATCGGTTCAAACCATAGGCAATTCAGGTTTGCGTAAACGAGAGAGAAAATGTGATTGACAGCTTACTCTTAAAAATATCTTCGCAATTTTTTATAGTTGTCGTTCATAGTTTTTATAGTTTATGGCAGTACTCAGAGCCCGCCGCGGATCGTATGGAAGCAGACTGGACTTCGTTTCTGGGGCGGAAAAAAGCAAAGGCGGTATTGTTCTTGTGGTCATTGTGTCGTTTTTTGAGTCGTCGTTTCGTTTTTTGAGCGTTCTTTCGCGTTTGAGATCAAGAGTCAAAAGGGAATTTGATTTCGCGAAAGTCAAGAGAGACTCCGTTCAAAAAGCCTAAAAACGAACCCAAACGAACCCAGCGGAACCCATGCCGGGCCTTGGCAGTACTGCATTTATCAACCTGGCTTTCTCATCATGCTATTTTACAACCAAAAAGCCCTGCTCCCCACCATTTCGCTTTTCAGATAATTTGTTCGTTGCTGTTACACGACTGCAAAAACAGAAAAAAATGAAAAGATGCAAGATTAATACAGAAAGGTTTTTCAAGAAAGCTAAATAAGATGAATCATAATTATGAAGGCAAAAATGGTTTGTGTGCTTTGAGACTGCGCAAGATACCCGATGTTATTTGAGAGAGATTTTCAGAGGAAATGAATTATGAATTACCTTGTGCGCCAAAATTATTTCCTTTACCCTGCAATGCCAAAATCGTGCTTTACGAGCTCAGCAATAGGTAAAACGCTATTTTGCAATAACTTACCGTTAAGGTGCTATTGGCTTCAAAACACTCACAAAATACTCTGCCAACTAATCGTGCGCACAACACGGAGTATGGCTTCAGGCGTTCTATCCCTCCAGAACTTGCTCCTGTCATGCAACAAAAGCGTGCAGCATAATGAAGCAAGTTTACGGCATGACTTGATATAAATGGAAAATGTGGAAATGTTTGAGAAGCAAATCAATAATGTTTGACCAAAGGCTGGCCGCTTTTGAAAATGGTACAAATCACTGGGTACAAGCGCACGATAGAAAAGCAAGAACTATTTCTAGTTCAATCTCGAAAAAAATCATTGAACAAGTAGAACTAGACATTCATATGAAAACCTCTTTGAAGACAGAACACGAGTACGGTGAAAGCTACCTTTCTATAGCTTACGGTTGTGACTCGATGTGACTCCAAGACAAAACGACCACCGACATGCAGGTGGCTTTCGCAAATTTTCCGTCATTTTTTATGAAATATCAACAAACATAACTAATATTACTATGTGTTGTGGAACTGTTAAACGTAATTGGAACTCGCTCACTATTGATAGATTAGGCTGAGGCAACCTATGTGGTTGCGGCGTACCCTCCCCACATTGAGATATTTACGTGTTGTTATTGCATTGATCCTAGTGAACCGCGGCACATACGCCGATGTGTACAGCGGGAGACTTTGCGTTTTTCTAATAAATAAATCGTCAACGACTCAACGCGTTCCACTACAACTGGCGATCGATCAGGATCAAGGACAAGAAGACCTTCACCGACCAAGGACCGGAAGAAGCTCCAACGACCAAGGACCAAAAGCCCCCATCGATCAAGGACAAGAAGAAGTGCTGCAGCTCAAATCGAGGAGGAAGCTGTCACTGGTCGAGGACCAAAGAAGTAAGCTTTACTCCGAAGTTATCGATTTAGCAAAAGATTTCGTCGACACCAGAGAAGTCTACCATGCCGAAAGCCAGTGAAGAGCGGCATGGCGACTCTCTGGAGAAGGTCCTGTCGGTCATGGTCGATTAGATGCGGCTCCAACAGGAGGAGATGAAGCTGCATATGCAGCTTCAACAGGAACAGATGCAGGCTCGACTAGAAGCTCAACAGGAGCATATGCAAGCACAATAGCAAGCTCAGCAGGAGCAGATGCAAGTGCAATCGCGGGCTCTACAGGAGCAAATGCAGATGCAATTGCAAGCACAACAGGAGCAGATGAAGACGTTGGTCACTCTTTGACCAGTAACCAAAGGGTAGCCGTCCAGGATGCCAGCAAGGCCAGCAAGGAACATTATGACCAGCTGAGCAAGGACGTGCAGAGATTTACCTCAGACGAAAAAACAGGTAACACCTTTGCTTACTGGTATGGCAGGTACAGACCAATCATTCGAGACTCCCAGCTTCCGGATCAGAAGAAGCGCGACTTGATCCTAATGAAGCTGGATGAAGAAGCATAAAGGAAGTATGCCGATGAGGTCCTGCCTGCGCAACCAAACGACTTGGACTTCAACACCACCGTCGCGATTCTTTAAAAGCTGTTTGCCTCCAAGAAGACGCTCATCAGAAGACGGTATGAGTGTTTAAGAATAGCGTGCCCTCCGTTTACACCAGAGTATGTACCGTTTCGCGAGTACGCCAACACCATCAAGCGGATGGACGAGGATGCCCGGCTCAAGGGGGTCGACTACACGGCGATGAAGACGCCCCAGTTCGTAGCAGGTCTTCAAGATCCCTCACTTAGGGAAGTTCGCCTTCGGATGATTCGTCGACTGGACGCTCACGCGGACGAACATCGTTGACAATCGAGGACCACGCGGAATGTGAGAATTTCACCCTTGAATATGGCCAATACAGACATGGAAGGAACGCGCGACATCCATGCTGTATTGAAGAAAAAGGTAAATTGCTTCATCTGCGGAGGACCACATTTCAGAAGAGAGTGCCCCCAATCTGGCAGCACTAGTCGGAAGAAGCGACGGAGGACAGGTGCAAAACATTTGGTCGCAAAGGACAGTGCAAGAATGTGGTCGCTTTCGATGCCGAGAGTGCGCGGACTTATCTCGATGTCGTAATCAAGGGATGCTCTCTCAAGCTCCAGCTGGATACGGGTGCAGACATAACCTTGATATCGCGTAGAGCTTGGAAGAAGATAGGATCGCCTACTCTGAAACCTTCTGTGATGCCTGTGAAAACCGCAGACAAACGCCAAATTCATGGTAAATTCTCAACCGACTTTTCCGTCAGAGATCGAGTTACAGGGAAGATGCTTTATGGAAATGGCACATGCTACGTCACCGAAGGCTCGAATCTACTAGGACTGGAATGGTGCATCGCTGCCGGCATACAAAAAGCTGAAGGACAACTACCATTGCAGAAAGGTGATTAGCGAAGAGAAATTCCGAGCCGAAGTGGTCGCCGACTTGAAGAAGAAGTATGAGGAAGTCTTCAACAGCGACCTCGGAAAGTGCACGAAGAGTAAGGCAAAATTAGTCTTGAAAAGCGATGCTGTGCCAGTCTTCAAGAAGAAGCGACCGGTACTTTACGCGTCAGCACTGAAACTGGAAGCCGAAATCAATCGCTTGGTAGCCGAAGGAGTTATTTCTCCGGTCGAGCACTCAGAGTGGGCCGCACCGGTAGTTGCTGTCAAACAACAAAGTCCGGCAACGCGAACGACGCGTGCGACGTCGCAACTTCTTTTGCTTCGATATCAAAGAGAAAAACCGTAGTTTCAATAATGATGTGTACCGACATAGATACTTTTGGATACTATTAGAAATTGAGTTCTTGTTTCTATATTTCAGAAAAGCAAAGGGAATCCTCACAAGCGACAAAATTCAAACACATCGAATCCACTCAGAGCCTTGGATATGGAACTTATTTGACAAGATGATTACAGATGTAGCACACAGTCTAAGAAATAAGGTCGCTTTATTGGCAATGGCTAGAAGTGCACTCTTTCTCGCCGCGCGCGATTTCGCGGTCCGAAACGTGTTAGCGTGTGTTTTCAGTTGTTCTTCTTTTCGTAAGCAACTTACGGGGTACGTAATGTGGCATGTGCTACCAATCACAGTGCGGAAAATTCCACAATTTGGGAAGCTCACGGATAGAAAGGATCGATGAACAGAGATCGCATCCAAGGGAAAAAATAGTCTTTTGCCTTCCTTGAGAGAAATTGCCACATTTTTTGTGCAGCTGTGCAGAATAATTTTCCGTCATTTCATTTATGATAAACCGTCAATTGTTTTTTCTTTTTAAGACATGCACGAAATTGGTAATCGATTTATTTAATCCACGGTCAACGTTTCGGCAAATCGCCGTCCTCAGAGCCTGTAGGGGACAAAACGACCTGTAGTCAATCCGAAGCAGATCTTTACAGTCCAACAGGCAAAATGCTAGACCTCATTTCGACTACCAGTTCAGGCACGGTCAAGCACGCACCCTCTGGATTACGCCGATAGTCCTCTTTAGAGGCAAGTTGGGCTCACGCCGTCTACTGATCGATAAACTTGGGCTAGACGTGTATGCAGATCGCCACTTATACAGTCGAGTAGATTTTCCGCTTAATATAGTGTGCTTGC